AAATGGTGGGGCCTTCAGACAGGGCTAGCAGTGTCGCAGGGACACCTAAGAGCCTGGTCCTGCGTGTCTGTCTGGCATGGCTCCAGGGTGACCAACCATTGTTGTTTGCTCAGGACTGAGGGGTTCAGCAGTGCTAAAACCAAGACAGGCCCAGGTAAGTCAGGACGCGGCTCACCCTCCACGGCATGGGCTCTCCCCTGTCCAGCCCAGCTCCACACTGTCCCTTGTACTCATCAACTCTTTGAAGTGACCTTGAACTCTCTTCCCCTTTCTGGGTCCCAGTTCCTCTGTCAGCAGAGGTTGAGCAGATGTTCCCCAGTCCCAGGGGCTCCTGCACCATGACTGGGGCCTTGGTCCTGGCCCAGCCCCCTGCCCAGATGAGGTCGGCAGACGGGTGAGGCTGGGCTCAGATCCAGTCTCGGATCCCGTGGCACCACCTGGTGGCAGGTGATGAGTTTGAGCAGGAGCCTCCTGCAGCACCAGCAGTGGTTATTTAACCCTGGACACTACCCACATCAGCGGCCACTAGCAGCAGGAACATCAGCCCAGGGTAACAGCATCACAAGGCCCAGGAGCCTGGGGCTGGCTCCCACCAGCCATGGAGACACAAAGCCCAACCTGGGAGGCAGCTCACCTGGGTCCTGCGAGTCCAAGGCCTTTGGAGGCAGAGAAAATACAACAGAAATGGAGAGTGAGACAGAGACAAAGAAAGCACAATCATCTGGTGTCCACCTCAACAGCCTCCAATCAGACACCCTGACTCAGTGCCCCCTGCAGGTCACCCACACAAACCACCAGATAAATTCCCGAAACACCTCGGTCACACCCTCCTCCCTTCCACACCTCAGTTTCTGTCCCCCTGACTCCACGCCCCGGGCTCGTGGTCCCACTCTGCCAGGTCAGTCTTCCGTCCCGGTCACCTCTACAATCTCCCCTGCCCTGTCCATGTGCTGCGAGGCCCACCTACTAGTAAGGCATGTGTTCCTCACACAGGAGCACCAGGTCGTGCCCCTGGGGAGTTTAAAAATCAGTTTTGTGAGGTTTCAACAGTCATAGCTCCTGGGCACTGCTCAGAACCTTCATGAGGGGAACTCCCTCCTCTTCCTCTTCCGACTTCCTTCTCTTCTACCTCCTCCAGTTCCTGGGGTGGCGGGACACTTAGCATTTGAGAAAGAAAGGGAGGGAGGAAGGGTAGAAAGAAAGAAATAGGATTCATCCTGCCTGTGCGCCTGTCATCTCCTGCAGACCCTCCTGCCCGCTCTTCTCGTCCATGTGGCTCTAGCAGGTTTGAGCCCATATCTAACACTCAAGAGCTGTGTGATCTTAGATACATCACTCCACCTCTCTAGACCTGTCTTCTCACTGTGACGTGGTGGGAATACTGCCCTTCTGAGGCTGGGGGAAGATTCAAGAGAGTGGCTGGCAGCACCTTGGAAACTGCAAAGAGCTGTCCACTTAGCACAGTGGTTCTCAACCTTCTGGCCCTTTAAATACAGTTCCTCATGTTGTGACCCAACCATAAAATTATTTTCGTTGCTACTTCATAACTGTAATGTTGCTACTTGTTATGAATCGTCATGTAAATATCTGATATGCAGGATGGTCTCAGGCGACCCCTGTGAAAGGATCGTTCGGCCGCCAAAGGGGTCTCGACCCACAGGTTGAGAACCGCTGATAGCAGGAGGCTTATTAATAGTCGCTATATTCTTGGGGCCCTTCCAGACAGAATAAAAGGGAGGAAGCACAAATCCCTAAGCTTCCCCTCTTTGACCCCTTCTCCAGAAGGGCTCTTCCCAGAGCCCTGACCCACTTCCACCTCCCTCCTTCCCCCCAACCCAGAGTCTCCCTGGTGGGTCGTTCTCCTCCTCATCCATCACCTGGGACTAAAGAAATTAATAAGCAAGACTCATAACTCAGCTGCTGGGGTGCAGCAGATATGTACAGCTCCTTTTCAATTTGCAGAGAGATTAAGTGTTTATGGATTTATTGTCTCTTGGTGTGTTTGTGAGTGGTTGGGCAAGGCCCCCTGCAGGCCAGCCTCCATACCCCCTCCCCCACTCCACACACTCTGTCTGGTGGGCTCACCACCCCCACACCATCCCCACCGCCACCTGGTCCCAGGAGCCTAGTGGAGGGCCACTGGCCACTGGAGTGGGCTTGTCTTCCTGACCAACTTGCCCAGAGGGGCAGTGGCCCAGGAAAGAGCCCCAGGACCCATGGGACCAGGTATTAGGCAGGATGGGAAGGAGGCCATCCTTAGATGATTGAGAGGGCCCTTTCTGGGCCTCCTTCAGCCTCAGCTCTCCCCACAGAGCAAAGGGTACACAGGGCCAGGTAAATGTGGCCCAGAGCCCCAACTCCACAATTCTAGGCCACTGTCTGGGTATCCAAGATTCTGGGGTCCAAATGGACCTGAGTCTGCTTGTGAGGACTATGCAAACCTCCTCCTGAAGTCCATTCTCCCAAGGGTTGAATAGTTTCGAGGGATTGTGCCTCTAGGCCCAGGGAATGTATGCTCTGGTCCTGCGACCACAGACATTAGGGGTGGAACTGAGAGGAGGAGGCAGGCTTTCATGGAGGAAGCCCCAGCCTCACTGGGGAGGAGTCTGCAAAGGCCAAGGGAAGTGAGACAGCCTGGGAGCAAGGGGCACCACCCCGGGGGGTGAGAAGGCAAAAGAGCTCTGCCCCGTATGAGCGGTGCTTGAGGAGCCAGAAGGGGGCACTGGGAACAAAACGGTCAAGTGTCCCCCACCCCACGAACCCTGGGCTGCCTCTTCCGTTCTTATTGACGCCACAGCCTGCCACATGCACTCACTCACTCATTTGGCCAGCTTTTACAGCATCTGCTACGTGCCCAGTCCTGTGATATCCCACATAGACACCTCTACTCATCTGTGCAGCTGTAGCAGGTTGAGTCCCATCTCCACCACTCAAGAGCTGTGTGACCTTGAATAAATTACCCCACCTGTGTGGGCCTACCTCATCTGTTACGTGGAGGGAATACTCTCTCCTACCTGAATCTCTAGAGAGGATTAAAGAGAGTGGATGGTAGCACCTTG